GAAGGAAGGAAGAAGAGGGATTTTTTTGGGGGGGAGGTGGAGGGAAACTTGCAAACAAATCGAAAAAGGGGGTGTGATGCATTTGCTGGACAAGAGAAGGGGCGGGGATTCGCCTTCACCCCCCCCCTCCCTAGAAAATGCCCTCTTTGGGGGCTGCCCCCCTCCCCAAGGAGTTGAATTAAGGGGGAAAGAGTTTAGTAAGATTTGAGGTTCACTAATAAAGGAGAATATTTGCAGCTCTGGGTTGAACGGTGGGGGTCTCCGAGCTTGTTTGTTTCCTTGTAGACCTTTCATGACCCAACTAGGGAACATCATCAGGGCTAGATAGGAGGGGCGTTTGAGGAGGGGAGAAGAAAGAGGAGAATGAGGTAGAGGAGGAGGACTATGGGGTCCTTGGGGGGCGTCTGAGCTGGGTGGTTTCCTTAAGAGACGTTTCATGACCCAGCTAGGTAACGTCATCAGTGGTGTAGGGAGTAAGATTTGTGGCGTGGAAGGAGGGAGAAAGGGGGGAGGGAAGGAAGGACTGTGGGGGTCCTTGGGGGTCTCTGAGCTGGGTGGTTTCCTTAACAGATGTTTCATAACCCAACTAGGTCACATCATCAGTGCTAGAAGAGGATGGAGATACATCAGTGCAGAGCAAACCTCTCTTTTAGCACTGATGATGTTCCCTAGTTGGGTCATGAAATGTCTGCAGGGAAACCACCCCGCTGAGAGAGCACTGAGGACTCCTCTTTGGGGTTCACTCTTAGTCATTTAGGGGGCGTGGAGAGCAGAGTGTTGGTTTGCACTCAGAGTGCCCAGGAAAAAAATATTATTTCTTAGGGGAGTACGTGTGTGTGTGTGTGTGTGTGTGTGTGTGTGTGTGTGTATTGGTGCATTTCACAGAGTTCAGTGGATTCCTGTCCTGTCTGAGTGCTGAGTCCCTTTAGTGCTGGATTAATGCTGGATAATTGCAAAGGTTTTAGTCTGAAAGGAGTCAAATTTTGCTCCTCAAAAGAGCATTTTTGGCTGTTTTGACGATAGCAACCCCTTGCCTGTACCCTGCTGCATGCACCAGGTGCAAAAGGCCAGGTTCACAGGTGAAAGTCCCATTAAACTGCTTTATTGCTGAAAGCCTCTGCTCAGGAATTTTCTCAACCAGGAGTTGACACCAGCTAGGAGTTAGGTAAGGGTTGGTGGAATTCAAAGGAGGTTGGACGGGGATGCCTGCAGGTGAGGAAGGGCTGGTTGTGGGGTGCTAATGGCCGACAGGTAAGCCCTCTTCCTCTCTGGAAGGGAGGTGGACTCTTGGAGACACACCTTGCCTTTGGAAGTTGTGGGAGCTTCATCGCTGGAGACTTTCAAGAAGAGATTGGACTGCCATTTGTCAGAAATTGTACCAGGTTGAGGTTGGGCTAGATGACCTACAAGGTCCCTTCCAACTCTGTTAATCTGAATTGGATGGGGAAGCAGGAGTGCAGTTTTTCCTTGCAACCCACAGCTCCCTTTGTGCCTTCTCCCCGCCAGCCAAGTGGCAGGCAGTTCCACGAGCCAGCCAAAGGAGGAGTGCATTTCTGATGCTCCCTGTTAGCTTCCAATAAGCAAAGTCACTGGGGAAGCTGGCGGGAAGTCGGAAGTCACTCTCTCTCCCAGTGCTGGCACTCCCAATTGGCTGGCGGTCTCAGGTGCGAAAGACCAGGTCCAGAAGTGAAGGTCCAATTAAATTGATTTCTTGCCAAATGGCCTAATGCACAGGAATATTCTCAAGTAATGGTCACCACCTGCTTGGAATTAGATAAGGGTCGGCGGAATTCAAGGAAAGTTGGACTTGGTCTGCTTGTGATGACGGAGGGATTCTTGGTCAGTGATGGTGAACCTTTTTGTTGTGGTGTGCTGAAAGTGTGCGTGTGAGCGATAGCGCCCACACGCATATATGAGCACCCACAATGCAATGCGCCCCCCCCGGGGCATGTGTGTGCAACACCCGCCTCTGCCTCACTGCACATGCGTGCACCTCCCAGTTGATTTTTGGCCCATTTCAGGCCTTTTTCGGCCTCCCTGAGGCTTGAGGGAAGCCTCTGCAGCCTCAGTAGGCTGAAAAACAGGCCTTCTGGAAATACCGGAAGTGCCCATTTTCAGCCTCCAGAAGGCCTGTGGAGCCCTGGGGAGGACGTTTTCGCCCTCCCGGAGGCTTGAAAACCTCTGTAGCCTCGGTAGGCCGAAAAACGGGCCTTCTGGAAATACCGGAAGTGCCCAATTTTAGCCACCAGAGGGCCTATGGAGCTCGAAAACCTCTGCAGCCTCGGGAGGCCGAAAAACGGGCCCATTCTGGCGCTTCTGGTATTTCCAGAAGGCCCGTTTTTCAGCCTTCCAAGGCCTCTGGGAAGGTGAAAACGGCCTCAAACAGGCTGAAAATCAGCTGGGAAGTGCGCGCGCGCATGCGCAGGGCAGGTAACTTTGGCTGGGGCTCACGTGCCCGCACAAACGGCTCCGCGTGCCGCTTGTGGCACGTGGGCCATAGGTTTGCCATCACGGTTCTCGGTTGATTCCTCGTTTGACGCCGCCCTCAGCTTCTGCTCGTTTTTTTCTTCTACACGCGGCAGTTGCTTTCTTTTATTTTCATCTTTTTCCCCCCCTCTGGCTTCCCTTCTCTCCTCCCAGAATGAAAGAGTGGTGGATCCAAGTCGGTTTGCTGATGCTGCCCCTGCTTGCTGTTTACCTCCACATCCCGCCTCCCAAGCTGTCTCCGGCCCTCCATTCCTGGCGCTCTTCAGGAAGCTTCTTCACCTACAAAACCCAGAACATCTTTTTCAGAGGTTGCGTAGACGCTTTGTGCCAAGAACTTAGCCAGTTTTCTCCCTTCGGGCTGTTTGCTCACAACCTAGTTCTCGACTTGCGACCACCAATGGGCCCAACTTTTCCATCCCTAAGCGAGGCGGTTATTGAGCTTTGCCCCGTTTTGTGACCTCGCTTTTCCCCAGTTGTTAAGTGAGTCTGACTTAAGCTGAGTTTGCTTCTCCGAGGTCGCAAAAGGGGATGTGGGAGCATGACCCCAGCACATTGCAACCGTTGTAAATATGAAGTCAGTTGCCTAGCGGCCGAATTTTGATCACAGGACTGCAACGGTCATGTGCGTGAAAAATGGTCATTAGTCCCAATTGTTTTAGTAAATCTTTCTCCAAAACCCATCTCTTCCATTTGCAATAACATAAATTGCCAATTTACGTTATCAAAGTCTTCGCATCTAGAAACATCAAAGCCATTTGCTTCTCTGGATGTGCATCATAGTATTCCAACGTATTCAATATTATTCTCATATTGTCTTTTATTTGCCTCTTAGGCAAGAATCCATTTTGATCAGTATGTATAAAATAATTCAGATATCTTCTAAGTCTTTCTGCCATTATTGAGGCAAATATTTTATAATCTGCGTTCAGTAGGGATATAGGTCTATAGCCGCGATGGCAAACCTACAGCACGCGTGCCACAGGTGACACGCAGGGCCATTTGTGGTGGCATGCGAGCTGCCGGCAAACTTACCTCACTGCGCGTGCGTGCGCCTCACAGCTGATTTTCGGCGGGTTTGTGGCCTTTTTTGGCCTCCCAGAGGCTTGAGAAAGGCTTCTGCAGACTTTGCAGGCCGAAAAATAGGCCCGTTTCATCTCTTCCTGTTTTTCTGGAAATACGAGAAGTGAAGAAACGGGCCTAGTTTCGGCCTGCAAAGCCTGCAGAAGCCTTCCTAAAGCCTCTGGCAGGCCGAGAAAGGCCTCAAACCTGCCGAAAATTAGCTGTGAGGCACAGTGCAGGTAAGGGGGCAGCAGGGGTGGGGTGGGGGGATTGTGTGCGCATGCATAGGGGGCATGGTGGGGGCACCCATTGCCTTCTCTGTGCAAGCGCACACACAATTTTTGGCACAGGAGCCCAAAAAGGTTTGCCACCACTGGTCTATAGTTTTTTTATCTGTTGTAAATCAGTATCTTCTTTTGGTATAAGAGTGATGATATAAGCCTCTGTCCACGACTAAGGTACTTTCATTTTTGTCAATATCTCATTCATTACTTCAAGCATTGTAGCGCTTAAAGATTCCCCTTTTTCGCGGCCATTGTAGCTTCAAATGGTCACTAAACAAACAGCGGTTAAGTCGAGGACTTCGTGCAGGTGAACGGAGGTGCCACTTCGATTCAGAGGAGCGTTTTTTTTTAAAAAAAGACATCAAAATCCCAAACTCAACTCTCCTTAAAGCAGCTGTGGCATCCTCCAGCAAAGTTTCTGCAGTCACACAGCCGTAAAAAGGGAGGCAGCTGCTTTAATCGGTTGCAGGGTGGGAGCTGCGTTTGGCACTCCTGGCTGTGTCGAAATTCCTTTTCTGAGCAGAGTTACATTTAAAACATGGGAGGAGATTTTTTTTTTGTGGGTGTGTTGTGTGCGTCGTTTAGAAAGAGGTGATTCTTGACATGTCGCAATCCTGGGTCATTAAGGGCATGGGCAGAGTCGAAGCAAAATGGCATCCGGAAAAGGCAGCGAATCTTACCCAAAAGTGCTTTTTTTTTTTTTTTTAAGAGGCAACTGGACTTTCTGGTTTTTTCTTTGAAGTCGTTTCGCTTCTCATCCAAGAAGCTTCTTCAGTTCTGACTGGATGGTGGGGAGAGGAAGGATTGATACTCCTTGCAGACAGCTGGTCATTTGCATCCTTTTAGAGAGACGTTGAGGCCACTTGGAGGTTTCTCTGTGTCCTCAGGGTCACACCTGAGTGGTGCAAATGGTTCTGCAATTGTTTTCTGGAAACCCGTTCATACTGTGACACCATTTGAAGGGTGTTCACCCCAAATTGTATAGCTAAAAAGTCTGCAGAGAGTCCTCCAGGTCGTGGTTGTCCCAAAGTTGCTTATTTTTTCAAGAGGCAACTGGACTTTCTGTTTTTTTTGTTCTTTTGAAGACATTTCACTTCTCATCCGAGAAGCTTCTTCAGCTCTGACTGGATGGTGGGGAACGGAAGGGTTGATATTCTGTTAGAGAGAGCTGGTTATTTGCATCCTTTGAGTGATTCGTTGAGGCTACTTGGAGGTTTATCTGTATCCTCAGGGTCACCTGAGTCGTGCAAAGGAATGTGCTGCCTTCTTGGAACTGCTGAAAGGACTCTGCAATTCCCAAAAGCCTCCACACCCATTTGCACTACTCAGATGTGACCCCGTGGACGCAGCTAAGCCTCCAAGTGGCCTCAACGACTCGCTAAAAGGATGCAAATGACCAGCTTTGTCCGCAAGGAGAATCGATCCTTCCGTTCCCCACCATCCAGTCAGAAGGCTCCAAACCCATTTGCACCACTCAGGTGACCGTAAGGACACAGTGGCCTCAACGACCCTCTAAAAGGAATGCAAACGACCAGCTTTGTCCGCAAGGAGTATCAATCCTTCCATTCCCCACCATCCAAGTCTGAACTGAAGAAGCTTCTTGGAGGAGAAGCGAAATGTCTTCCAAGAAAAACTAAAGAAGTCCAGTTGCCTGTTGAAAATACACCTGGAGGACTGAGAATCTCTACAGACTTGTAGTAAATCTTGTTGAGGCTAGTTTGTGGTTTAACATCTGGCAGAGGCAAAAATGGTGGTCTAGTGACATCCTTGGGAGGGAAACGCACCCAGGGTCCGAAGGATTCTCTTAAACACAAGGGGGGGCGTGCTGCCTTTTTGCAAATTTAAGAGCAACCTGCTCGTGTGTTTGTGTGTCTTTCTGCAATGTTGGGACAATCGGGTAATTCCGTCTTCGGGATGCCGTTCCCTTTTTTGCTTGTCTGCAAATAATATTAAATGTTGGAAAACCGAAGGCCCGAACTCTTTTTATCTCGAAGCGAAATTGAAATCCCCTGTTAAGAATTCACGATGGATTTTACATGTAAATTGAGAACCTTCTGTTTTATTTTTTGGGACACTCTGCTCAAAAACCCAAAAGTTCTCTAAGGAAATATATTGCTTTGCCTCTTTAGATTCGCCCGGCGCTGTCGGGAGTTCGGACATTGTGGTCCTGTTGCACGGATTTCCGACCTCGAGTTACGACTGGTACAAGGTGAGTTGGGGGGACGGACGGACGGACGGACAGACATGCTGGATGAGGGCAGGGTGGGCTATCGAGATGCCGTAAGAACCTCCCTCCTTGTGTTCCTCCTCCTCTTTCTTGTCCCACCTGCAGATCTGGGAAGGGCTCACGCAACGATTTCATCGTGTGATTGCACTGGATTTTGTGGGGTTTGGCTTCAGCGACAAGCCGGTGAGTACATTTCGAAGGACATTCCACATTCTAAATTTCCTTTCTTCCCCAAATATTGTCAGCCTACCAGAGAGGGACTATATACTTCATGCTTCATGTAGACGGCAGCGAGAATTGCATTGGCACGATGTTGGGGAAATGAGAACAACCCCGTCAGACGAAAGAGTGATTTGGAAAATATTGAACTGTGCAGAGATGGATAGATTGACGCTGAAAATCTATATATATATAAAAGTGAAATACCCCTCACTCATCATCGCAAAATCTCCAGAACCGTAAAGCCTACAAACTTGGAAATTTGGCACATATGTTCCTCTTGGCTTTCTAGGGGCTCACTAAGAAAGGATTTTTCGAAAGGACCATCAGAGCATTTAGAGCATTTCCTATATTATTATTATTATTATTATTATTATTATTATTGTTGTTGTTGTTGTTGTTGTTATTATTATTATTAACATGCTCTGATGCTAAGGAGTTCTACTCCCCGTCCCCACCTGAAAAAAAGAAATCTCTTCCAAATGCAAAACACAAGCAGACGAGAGGAGTTTCAGTCTCAGTTTCACAGCACCAACCAGCTTTTAGTACAGAACAGTTGAGCTAAGCCACGCCCAGGCTCCTTGCTGTCTCCTTGCGCACACAGCAAATCTTGTTTCAGTTTCCAAACAGCCCTCAACTCTCTCACACAGTAACAGGACGCTAGCCAGATGAATACCGATGGATCTGGTAGGCGGAGGCAGAATTTTTTAAACCTTATTTTCCTACCCAAAAACTAAGTCCCACCACGTAGTTTCGTAGCGAAGCACGGGGATCGAGCTAGTACAGAAATGTTTTTGTGAGGTAGAATACCAGAAAGTTACAACAAAGGGATTATATACTTAATGCTACATGCATTGACCGCAGCGAGAATTTGCATTTGCACAATATTGGAAACATGAAAAAAAAACCATTTGTTGCAAGCGTCATTGGGAAAATACTGGACTCTGCAGAGATGGATAGCTCGACATTAAAAATAAAAGACAAAGGAGATACAGAGCAATGTTTAATGTGGGTTAGGGTTAGGGTTAGATAGGATCAATGGTTAGAGGTAGAAGTTTCTGCCGCACAGAATTCTAACTGGATTTGATCACTCTGGGCTATGGAGATGTCCCATTGGAGAGTATTAATTACGAGACACCGAAGGGGTGGAGGGTGGAAACCAGGGTCAAGGGTGGCAATGATGTGTCTCAGAGTCGGCTACACCCAGGCAGCGCCGGACATGTTAACTCCCAATAAATCCTTTTGAAGTTTTGGAAGTTTGGCTCGAGACTCAGGATTTAAATAGGGGGAACGGCTGGATTCCTGACACAGGACTTGATTCAAACTCAGTGCTCCCCCCTCTCTCCCTCCCCATCTCTCCCTCCCTCTCTCCCTCTCCCTCTCCCCCTCTTCCTGGCAAACAGCGGCCTCACGCGTACTCCATCTTCGAACAAGCCAGCATTGTGGAAGGCCTGTTGCGCCACCTGGGCCTTCTGAATCAACGGATCAACCTGCTTTCTCACGACTACGGAGACACCGTCGCCCAGGAGCTCCTCTACAGGTGGGTGGGAACGCTTCACACCCTTTTGCCTTCATCCTCGGCCTGTTTCTCAAAGGGCGACAGGGAGTCCTCGCTTTACGACCACGGTTGGGAGCGGGGCTTCCATCGCGAAGCAAGGCCAGGACGGTCGCTAAGCGTGCCGTGGCCAGTTTTGACGACCTGTTTCCCGGCAAGGTTGTTAAGCGAGTCGCCACGGTTCTTCAAGGGAATCGCGGTACAGTCGTTAAGCGAATCTGGCTTCCTTCCTTGAACCTGCCTATCAGAAGCCGGATGGGAAGGTCACGAAATAATGATGATGTGACCTCCTAGGGCAGTGGTGGCTAATCTTTTTGGGCGCCTGTGCCAAAAATTATGCACTTGCACGCTCGCGCTTGCATGCCAGCACCCAGAAGGCAATGCGCCTCCCCCAAACCCCCTACGCATGCGCACGCAATTCCCACCCACCCACCCAGGCTACCCCCTTACCTGCACTGCACCTCACAGCTGATTTTCAGCCAGTTTGAGGCCTTTTTTGGCCTCCCAGAGGCTTGAGGAAGGCTTCTGCAGGCTCTGCAGGGTAAAAATTAGGCCCGTTTCATCACTTCCAGTATTTCTGGAGCAACAGGGAGTGACAAAACAGGCCTAGTTTTCGGCCTGCAAAGCCTGCAGAAGCCTTCCTCAAGCCTCCGGGAGGCCGAAAAAGGCCTCAAATGGGCTGAAAATCAGCTGTGAGGCGCGCGCATGCGCAGTGAGGTAAGTTTGCCTGCGGCTTGCGTGCCGGCACAAATGGCTCTGCGCGCCACAGGTTCGCCATCACGGTCCTAGGGTGCTCCAACCGTCATAAATATGAGTCAGTGGGTGGTCAGGTGCCTGAATTTTGATCCTGTGGCCACAGGGATGCCGCCACGGCCTTTAAATGTGAACACCGGGCATAAGTTATTGTTTTCAATGCCGTCATAATTTCAAATGGTCGCTAAATGAATTGTTACAAGTCAAGGACCGCCTAGAAACTGTCAGGAACCTTCCTGAGATTTTGCAGAGTAATGGCTGGGGTTTGGTGCTGTTTTGTAGAATTGGGTTGCGCTTAGTCCTTAGCGTTACAATGCAGGCAGTCCTTGTTTAGTGACAGCCTCATTTAGTGACTCTTTGCAGTTAGGGTGGTGAGGAAAACTGCCAATCCTCGCATTTGTGATCTCCTTGTGTAAAGCCAAAGAAGGATTATCACTTGCGGTTGGGAGTTTGCTTAGCTACTGCTTTGTTTAATGACCGTATCGCTGGTCACAATTGCGCTCACTAAACAAGGACTCCCTGTATTACTTTGTATTTCAACCTTCGGGCAAGAGACTGGGCATGTCCTCAGGTAAAACACATACACCTGGAATCCAGGTAGCCTTGAGAGTGGATGCTTCTTATTGCAGCTCCCCAAATACGACAAACCCTCTGAAGTGAACTCAAAAGATTCCTTTATTCGGAGCGTCGGCAGCCCGGCAAAAAGTTTCTCTCTCGCCGCAGGCTAACAAGTCCATCCGGCAGGGAGATGAATAGTTGTCTGTCACATCTATTCGTCTCCGTCCCCTGCCTTTTATCCCCAGAGCTCGGGTGGGGCTTTGCTAGCAGCAGTGGCTCTTCCGTCCCAAGGGCCGGCCTATAGATTTCCACTGCTCTCCTCTCCTTGGCAAAAAGTTTCTCTCACCGCAGGCTAACAAGTCCGTCCGGCAGGTCTGTCACATCTATTCGTCTCTGTCCCCTGCCTTTTATCCCCAGAGCTAGAGTGGGGCTTCACTAGTAGCGGTGGCTCTTCCGTTCCAGGGACCGGCCCATAGATTTCCACTGCTCTCCTCTCCTCGGCAAAAAGTTTCTCTCACCACAGGCTAACAAATCCGTCCGGCAGGGAGATGAATAGTTGTCTGTCACATGTATTCATCTCTACTCCCTGCCTTTTATCTCCAGAGCTAGGATAGTGCTTCTCTAGCAGCATGGCTCTATCATCCCGAGGACCGGCCCATAGATTTCCACTGCTCTCCTCTCCTCTCTGCCTTCTGCACATCCACACGTCAGGCACTGGACTCAGCTGTCCCTCCTCTTCCTCATCAGCCACCTCCAGACCTGGGGGGCTGTTGACTCTCCACCTGAGGGATGACGGGCGGCCCAGGCTCCGCCTCTCTCCCTCCCTCCCTCCCTCCTTCCCCTCCCTCTCTCTCTCTGACCTCTCCATTGGAGCTCTCAGGTTGCCCCAATGCTGACTCCCACCCCTCCTCGTCCTCCTCTGATTCGGCTGTTGAGGGGGCCAGAGGCCCACAGGCCGCAACCAGAACATTCTCAGAACTTCCCCCCCTCAAATCTTACTTCGATGAATTGGTTATATTTATATAACGTTTAACTGTATTTTACACCGTTTTGTCTCCTCTCAGGTATGAACAGAATAGAACGGGATGCGTCCTCATCAACAGCCTCTGTCTGTCGAACGGAGGTGAGCGATTTATGGGGAAACCTCCCGCGAATTCCCGTTGCAAAATTACTCGGAGCAGAAGAGGGTTGGTTCAGTCTTTTTTTGGGGGGGGGCGGAATTGGAGGGGTGGACACAGATGAATCCACCCTAGGGGACGTCGTTCAAGTTAGAGGACAGCATGCCATCATCAGCCAAGTCCCCACTCCCATTTACAGGTACAGGGGTCCTCGACTTATGGCTGCTTGCTTAGTGACCGTCCAAAGTTGCAATGGCACTGAAAAAAAAGTGACTCAGCGCCGTTTTTCACACTTAACAACCGTTGCAGCATTCCCTCGTGGTCATGTGATCAAAATTCAGACGTGTTCTGACCCAAACCCTTTTTTCCAATAAGACAAACGCGAACCAAAGGGAACAGGAAACCTTTTAATGATTCTTACGAATCCCTGATTAAAAGGCTGCTGCAGACTGATTAACTTTGATAAGCACAAGGCTCACCAAAACTGTGCAAGGCTGCCAAGAATCACAGATAAGAAATATTTCACAACACAAAGAGTCTTCAAATACCAACTTAAGATACTGTAATGTCCGCGAGGCTGAGTTTCAAAACGTCTTTGCTTCCTGCAAAGAACGTCCGATTCACCGCTGGCTTTTATTTCCTTGAAGGAGGGGCCGTTACCTTGCAGCCTTACTCCTGAGTCGCCCGTGCTGCTGCAGCTGCTCTTTCCTGCGAGCAGCCCTGCGTGCAAGCACACTGGGCACAGGCTCCTCGGGAACCTCCTCCTCATTGCTGCCAGCCCCCACAATCTCTGAAGGCAGCCGTCCACTCCCTCATGGTCCTGGCCCCTCCTCTGACCATCTCGCTCTCCTCAGCCGTCCGCAGCTGCTGCCGGCGAACCACAACAAGACTCTTGGCGACCAACTCTCATTTGTGAAGGTTGTAGTGTCCTGGGGGGGCGGGGAGGGGTCATGCGATCCCCTTTAACGACCTTCTAGCAAGCAAAGTCAACAGGGAAAGCCCGATCCATTTAGCGACCACGCAGGGATTCAGTTAAGAAATGGGACCAAAAAAAAAACGTTGTGAAAAGGAGCAAAACTCACTTGAGAAATTTCTCACTGAACCACAATCAGCGTTGGGCTCATAAGTTGAGGACTCCCTGTGCTTTGAGCAGGGGGTTGGACTAGAAGACCTCCAGGTTCCCTTCCGGCCCTCTAGTAGTTGAGGGGCTGCCACAGAGAAGAGGGGGGTCAAGCTATTCTCCAAAACACCAGAAGGCCGAACAGGAAACAACGGATGGAAACTCATCAAAGAGGAAAGAGGAACCTGGAATTAAGGAGGAATTTCTTAACAGTGAGGACAATTAACCAGTGGGACAGCTTGGAAGCAGAAATTATAAATGCTCCATTACTGGAGGTTTTTAAGAAGAGGCTGGACAACCCTTTGTCTGAAATGGTAGAGGGTCTCCTGGTTGAGCAGGGGGTTGGACTAGATGACCTCCAAGGTCCCTTCCAGCTTCTATTCTGTTCTATTTTCTATTCTACTCTATTGTCTATTCTATTCTACCCTACCCTACCCTACCCTATTTATTCTGTTCAATAAAGATTCTATTCTTCTTATTCTTATTTTTCTATTCCATTCTATTCTGTTCAATAAAGATTCTATTCTTATTCTTCTATTCTGTTCTGTT